TATATTTTTAGCTGTCCAATTAATTTCTTTCTATTTTTGGTAGAGACGGGGTCTCGCTCTTGCTCAGGCTGGTCTCGAACTCCTGAGCTCAAACAATGCACGCGCCTCGGCCTCCCAGAGTGCTAGGATTACAGGCGTGAGCCACCGCACCCGGCCGATTGTCGTTGTTTATTACGGGGCTGTCTCAGTTTAATCGGAGAACCAAAATGTGATGTCCTCCAGGAGAGTTGAGGAGTTTTCTCAGCTGGCTGTGTATTGTCACCTTCAGTAGGCTGTATCTCATCACTTGGAGATCAAACTTGCATCTTGGGTTTACTGCCTTTCTTCTTCTCCTCCTCCTCCTCCTTTCTTCTCTCTTCCTTTTTATTTTGATATCCTGTCTCTTCCACTCTGACCAGTTTTGATGACACATAAGGTCTAATTCAGTGTGTGAGAATTTCAGGGTCCCATGGTGTTCTTCAAGGTACAATAGAGGTACAGAGGATATGTCTTATTATGTAATTTAATTAACTATGGATTTAAAATATGAAACAGATACTTTTAAGCACTTACACATGTAATTCCTCTGTTTGGTGTATGTTTTTTTCCTGTATCCCCATTTCTCTGTGGTTGGTCCCTAGTTTGTCACATAGATCTCTCTTTTTAACCCATGGGTTCCATAGAGAAGGGGCCTGTTGGAGTTCCGGGTCCATTCTACTTAACTTCAGATTGAAACTGGGCTTCCTGGCATCCATCTGACCTTGTTATTTCTGACAGGATGGCTCCCCAAGTCTTTTCATTCTAGGTTAATTTAGAACGAAAGTTATTATTCTCATCTTTTCTTTGAGTCCTCAATTTTATTTTAAAAACATTAATAGCCCTTCATCACTCTGCTCTCTGATAATTGACCTTCCTGGATCTTTTTACTCTCCATTAGGAATTACTCAGGTAACAGAGGTGCACAGTATATGATGAGGATGTCACTGTCTGTAATCAATTACTTCATATTTTTATTGAATACCCACTGTGTGCTAAGTCTATGCCCTGAACATATAACAATGAATAATAGTCTTTGCCCTCTGGGAGCTTATAGTCCAGTGGAGTAGATAGGCTAGCAATACAGTGGTTCTCAAAGTATGGTCTGGGGACCCTTGAATTCCAGAGATCCTTCCAGGGAGTCCGCAAAGTCAACGCTATGTTTCAGATAAGACTAACGCTTTGTCTTTTTCACTGTGTTGACATTTGTGCTGAGGATAACACTGCTGGTCACCAAATGAATCAAGGCAGCAACAGCAAACTGTCCTAACACATACAGTAAAAAAAAATTCCAACTTTACCTAAAAATACCTTTGATAAAACAATAAAATATTTACTTTGTTAGATTGTGAGCCTCAAGGACATGGCCTTTTAGCATTTTGTGTGACCAAGCGGGAAGTACGCAGAAAGCACCTGATGGCATGGTGAAAATGTGATAGTTATCTCAAGAAAGCACTTGTCAGCTGACTATCCACTTTTTCCTGGAATGCAGTTTTTGCTTGTAAGAATGGCTGACAGACAAACTATGGTTATTCAGACTTGGGTTTTTGGCAGAAATTTTGTTGAAAATGAATGGAAGTGGGCCTGTCACATTAAGGAAAACAACTGAGTATTTGTTGCCAATGAGAAAATCTGAGCTTTCAACTGCAAATTAAGGTTTTAATATTTATATGCGTTTCTCAAATGCCTGCTTGTGACAAAAAATATCCCCTTAGAGGGTATACTTGTCAAAGGAAAAAATTATAACAAATTTATTTTAAAGATCTAATTGGTTTTCGTTGGTAATTCATGGATCAGGTGGCATCTCCTCTGAAAATGTAGAAAATGTGCTCTGGTGGCCACAACAGAACAGTTGTTTTTTATAAGGTAGTTTGAGCAGGAACAAGGAATACAAAAAGTAGATTATTTAATATCAGGTTACTTCAGGTTACTTTCCTTATACGGGTTAAAGCAAAGGGGACTTCCTTATCATGCTGGCTAAAACTGGCCTATTAGGGGATTTGGCTATTATCTCTCTCTTCTGATTTCTCTGGTCACATAAACAACTTAGTTTTGGTTTGATAATGTGGTACTTTAGCATGAGTGACTCCATTCTGGTTTAGTCTATTGGGGCCTAATGCAGGAGCTCAGTCCAAATCAATGGCCTCCTATAAATTTTATTTAACATATTTGAAAGACTTTTCTGATGAGCTCCTGCATTAACAAATGTGATTCTTTTAAGTTATAAATGAAATGTGTGAATATTTGGAAGATCTGCATAACTCCAGATGACCAATAATTTTCAGGAGTTGAGAATGTCACAATACCAAAAGTTTGAGCCCCACTGATGTAATATGTTATGCATTATGACAGGGAACATAGGGTGTTATGGGAGTATGTAGAAGGGGCACATGTCTTAATCTTTCAGTCAGGGAGCATTGTCTTTTTATAATATAAAGATATAGGCCAGTGTGGTGGCTCACGCCTGTAATCCCAGCACTTTGGGAGGCCGGGGTGAGAGGATCACTTGAGTCCAAGAGTTTGAGACCAGCCTGGGCAACATAGCAAGACCCGGTCTCTACAGAAAGTAGAAAAATTAGCTGGGCGTGGTGGTGGGACTGTAGTCTCAGCTACTCGGGAGGCTGAGGCCGGAGAATCTCTTGAGCCCAGGAGTTTGAGGTTATAATGAACTGTAGTGACACCATTGCACTCTAGCCCAGGCAACAGAGTAAGACCCTGTCTAAAAAAATATGTATGTGTGTATATATATATATGTAAATATGTATGTATATATATAAGTGTATATATTTATATAATATATAAAGTATACATTATATTTTATCCCATACACCTGTGTCCATGTCTTGAGACTCATATTAATCCACATTCATTATTTTATTAAAAAATTTTTTCTTCTTTATTCAGTTATAATTGAAAAATAAAAATTGTATATATTTATGGTATACAACATGATGTTTTCATATAACTATACCTTGTGAAATGATTATAACAATCAAGCCAATTCATGTTCATTTGTTTATCTCTTAAGGGGGGTATTTTTTGTCACAAGTAGGTATTTGAGAGTCACATATGAATATTAAATACCTCTGATTTCTAATCAGTGCCCTTTTAAAACTAAGCTATACCATCTGTATTAGTTTCCTAGGGCTGCTGTAACAGAGTAACACAAAATGGTTGAAATTTTAACCTTTAAAACAACAGAAATTTATTCTTTCACAGTTCTGGAGGCTGGAAGTCCAAAATCAAGGTATTGGCAGGATATGCTCCCTCTGAAACCTGCCGGGGAAGATCCTTCCTTGTCTCTTTCAGCTTCTGGTAGCGCCTGTGTTCCTTGGCTTGTGGCAACATGACTCTAATCTCTATTTTTATCTTCATGTGGCCATCTTCCCTCTATGTGAATCTCTTTTTATTAAGGACATGTCATATTGGATCCTAATGACCTCATCTTAACTTGATTGCACCTGCAAAGATCTTATTTGCAAATAAGGTCTCATTCACAGGTACCAGGGGTTAGGACTTTACCAGATCATTTCAGGAGACACAGTTCAACCCGTAACACCATCTTACCATTGAGAACATTGTCTTATAAGGCAGAAAATTAAGTTCGAGCATCAAGTGATTCTTATTGAGCCTGTAAGGAGTGCATAATACCCCTTCATGCAGTTTATACAGTTCCTATTAAAAAATACATTGCTAAGTCATCTGTTAGCAAACACAAACCAAACGATAGTGAAGATATATAAATAGTTTTAAAAAAAATCAGTACCTACTTTATTTTATTATTATAAATTCAGCTATACTTCCCTTTCTTCAGACTATATATATATATATTTTTTTTTTAAGTTAATATATCTTAATACTTATCAAGCATCAAATTGTACTCTCTCTGGGAGATTATTTGTGAGTATAAGGGCTATTGTTTGTGTTTCTACTAGTCCCTTCTAGTGAAGAACCTGCCCTCTGTCTACAGCAGTGGGTATGTGACCTAGTTTGGGGCCACTTAGCACCAAGCTAGTGATTGGTCAGGGATGGGCATGTGACCCAAGGTGGCCAATCAGAGTCCTTCCCTGGGATTTCTCTCACTGAAAACAGAGAGAAGAGTCACCTCTTTTTCTTCTTTGATGGGGAGGCCTGTGAGGTTATAATCCCAGACTTCTTGTGGTTATGTTTTCTGCCACATGGAGAAAGCAAGTAGCCACAGGGGAAAATGAAATCAATAGACAGAGGAGCAGAGACTAGGGATGGGGGAGAGGGAAAGCTGGAGAAAAGGCACAGGAATTCCTTTATCCAGCAGCACCCCTGTTCTTTCATCAGTTTGGTTATATCAGCTGATAATTTATTCCTTTTAATAAAAGTCCAAGTCAGGTGACTGTCATTGCAAACAAAACACTACTAACACACACAGCAAAGAAGTTATTCTTGTTTCTCCAATGCCAGGTTTTAAAAGAATGAATCAGAATTTAGTACTTTTTTATTATACATTTACACATGTAAGTTTTAAAATTTTATATATATACTTAAAAGCCTGTAGATTGTCCTCAGAATTAACTACAAACCTAAAATCCTTTTTTAAATCTACTATATATTATTATGTTAATAATTATAATATTCAAGTTGTTATAACTTCAAGGGTACCTGTTTTTCTCATCCTTTCCATTTGTATATCTTAATTCAATACTTTACATTGCATTTACAATAAAACCTGCTGATCTTAGATTAAATATGTCTCATAAAATATGATTTTATTCTTTTAGGAAAAATATTCTAAAAGTAGACCAGCTAAAAAGAAAATTCCAAGGGATTATTCAGAATGGGATAAGTATGTTTTACATTTCTTTATATAAAATTTGTCACTAAAATATTCTCTACCACAAAATACTGTAATAACTTCTTAAATAATTGTTATAAACCTGAACATGTCGAGAATGCCAAATTAATTCTGTAGAATACTAAGAGTGTATACCCTAAGCACTTTTGATGTTGTTTTTTTATTAAATAAAAAAATGAATACATCCTTTTGTTTATAAAACCAACCAAAAGTAACTAACATAATCCTTCTACCTATCTGAAATAAAAAGAACAAAAATTTAAAATTGAGAGAAATTAGTCACAATTTTAATTACAAAGTTCTGAACAGTTTAGATATGATTAAGTCCTCACTAAATTGCATGTTTTCTTAAGAAAGAATGCAGATGACCTCAACTACAAACCTATTATGCATTTTTGAATATACATCCAAAGGCAAAGTTGTACAAATATAAGACTATCAATAATAAATTTGTTTTTTTCTTGTATTGTATTTTTTTCAGTTTTTGTTTTTCTTTCATTTAAGATTTGACGTGGAAAAGGAATGTTTAAAAATAGATGAAGATTACAGAGAAAAGACTGTAGTAGACAACAAGTCACATTTGTCTAAAATTGAGAAAAGAATAGACACAACAGGTAATTGGGGGAAAATAAGAATAATTTTAGTAGGTTTTAAATTTTTTGAGTTATAATAAAAACTGTTGACCTAAAACATATTTTCTTTAAGTGCTGCAGGATTTTCTCCTAGAGTTGGCCACTCCTAACAAATTCATTTCACTCTTTTACCTACTTAATTTTGTGTAATAGTTATAATAATTAAATTTAGGAAGACTTTAAAAAAGATGCACCTTATTTTTCTTACCATAATTCATTTTTTTCATTCTTTTTTCCAATCCTTTTTTCCCTCCAAATTCCTCAAATTATTTTCTTTTTGCCTCAAAACAAAAAGATAGGACAGTTTTGTTTTCATTTGAAGTCCATAGATGTATAGCACCTATGAAGTAAAACAAAACCAGTCATAAGAAAATCTAAATTCTCAATAATTGTGAATGATTAAAAAAAGAAAATATCTCTAAACTTAGGAAATCTTTTATTTTCTTATGTTTGTTTTATGGTTTTCTGCTTTTGTTAAAATAAGCATTCTTGGATTTAAACTTTTAAATATTCTGTTAAATTATATTTTCACATATGGCAGATAACATTATTTCTAGGTCTAACTGAGAAGGAAAAGGATTTTCTTGCTACTCGTGAAAAGGAAAAAGGAAATGAAGCTTTCAATTCAGGAGATTATGAAGAGGCAGTGATGTATTATACCAGGTGAGTAGATATTTGTTGTAGTTTAAACTTGCCATTTTTAAAATGATAATGTTTTAATTGCTGGAACAATATAAATAAGCTAAGTAGTCTATGTCGGAATCACTCAATGTATTGTACTTGTCATTTTATATTTTGTCTTGTCTTTTCAGTACTTTTCTCAAATCTCTAAGCTTTCACCCCACTCCCACTTTTGACAGAGGACCTAACTTCTATTTTACAGAGAAAATAGAAGCCATCTGAAAGGAATTCAACAGAAAGTCCATATGGCATAAAAGTTAAGAACTTGGCTTTTGTGTTTAGACTGCCTGGATTTTAATCCTGGTACTTATGGTGTTCCCTCCTACCACAGGGCCTTGGCACATTCTGGGTCCTCCATCTAAAATGCTCTTCCCTCCTCTCATTATCTAGTTAATTCTAACTTATCCTTTAGATCTTAGCCCATGACTTGATTCTTTGGAGAAGTCTTCCCTGACCTTCTAGACTAGATTAAATCTTCATCCCACCCCATCTCCCTCATACCCAAAATTATAGGCTCTTACAGCAATCTTACCACTCCTTTGTGGCACTTGCTGGAAGTACAATTTAAGTGTGTGTCATTTGATACTAACTGGACTGTAAGCTGTGTAAGAGCAGAACCCACTTGTCAAGATTTTTTACACCATTGCATCCCCAATGCCCAGCAAAGTACTTGGTTGTAGTAGATGTTCAATAAATACTTGTATGAACTTTCAAAGTTCTTAATAGTCTATCAAAAATAGAATAAGTTCACAAAAAGTTATTACAGACAAACTGTGCTTATAGAAATACTAATGCCAAGTTAGTACTACACTTTGTTCAATCTTTTCTCAACCTTTGGAAAGAAGATTTTTTTTTTTCAGCGTTGTTTGTGTCTCTAAAGAATTTTGTCTCAGACTGTTTGAGTGGACACATAAGGTAAAGAGGACAATTAATGGATCATTCATTCAGTACAGCCTCCTCTGTTCAGGCAGGTGGATGTCAGCCTTAATACTATTCTCTCTTTTCTTGTAGATTTCTGCCAGTGGAGATTCTCTTGTCTATTACGGGGAAAAAAATCTTAATATCTTCTTTTGAGGAGTCATATAGTTGAAGAAGTAAAACATCACACTATGATGGTTAAAGGAACTCAGACTACCACTTTCTGACCTTGGGCAGATTCTTTGCCTCTCTCGTCTTAGTTTCCTTAATGTGATGAGGCTCTAGGAGTGCCTATTTCAGAGCTTCTGTGAAGACTAAATAAAACAATGTGTTGAAAGGCAGGATAACATGGTAGTAAGAGAGCAGACTGGGTTTGAGTTTTGACTCTGCCGTTTACTAGTTTGTGGCTATGGGCACATTATTTAACCTTTCTATTGCATCTATTTTTTCATCTGTAAAATGAGAAGAGCCATAATACCTTCTCCATGGGTTGTAATTGAGGATTGAATGAGTATTGTCAGGTGTGATTGTGTTGGAGAGTTGTTGTCATGGTCCTTTGTCTCCTTGCTTGGAAGAATTGCAAGTAGAGCCAGTGTGACAGAATAACAGACATGAAGCACTTCCACACAGGTAGCCTTGATTGCAAAGTTAAGAATACAAAGTGAAAGTAGATCCCAGGGTCTGTCTCTGCAAGTGGAGAGACCCTGGGGTCTTAACACACTTCTACTTTTATGTATACACCTTATGATATGGTAAATAGGGGGCAGAATATTCATTATTTTTCTGGGAAAAAGTGGAGAGTTTTTGTAGCTAAGGGCTCTCCTCAATTTTATCCTCATAGGGTAACATCCAGGGGTTGCCAAGACATTTGTAAACTGTCTTGATGCTGGTGGGTGTGATTTTTACTATGCTAATGTATGTTAATAGGGAAAGGTTACCTTTGGTTATGAGCTCCTAGTTTCTGTGCATGCTACTGGCCAGGAAAAGTTCCTAACCTCAAGTTCCTGCTGTTGCAGGTTTGGTTCTAGATGCTCACTGACCTCCTCATATTCATCCTCCCTCCTCTTTTCCTGTGGTTAACGCTGCCAACCTGCTTCTGTCCCTAGTAGTATGTATGTAAAGTGCTTAGTGCCTGGCCTGTGGGAAGTACTCAGTGTCAGGTACTCTTACATGTATTTTCCATGTCTGGTCTCTACCCAACCGTGTAATTTCTTTATATTAAGTATTTATCTTTAATGATCTTAGTAAATTGACCCTTTTTGTGACTTTTCCATTTTCACCCTCTATTCATCTTCTGGATTTAGTAAATTCAGTGTACCAACACCCTTATCTTTCCTATATCAGGGTATTCATTATTTCATGGCATTCCAAATCAACTTTTTAGGCAACAGCCAGATATATTTTAAAATCTTTTCATTAATTATTTTGTACTTACATCCTTAATCTAGCAAAATTTGCTCTGTTGAAGTCTGTTTTCCTCATCCCCCTGACTACTCTCCTGTTTCAATTTAGTTTCTTCTGTTAACTTACTTCATGATCATTTCTTTAGAGTTAAATCTACTTTTAGATTACAAACTAATTTGTTTCTATTAACCCAATAACAGCTGAATAAAAGATATTGTGCAGGCGCGGTGGCTCACGCCTATAATCCTAGCACTCTGGGAGGCCAGGCAGGAGGATTGCTTGAGCTCAGGAGTTCGAGACCAGCCTGAGCAAGAGTAAGACCCCGTCTCTACTAAAAATAGAAAAAATTAACAAGTCAACTAAAAACAGAAATGAAAAATTAGCCAGGTGTGGTGGCTCACGTCTGTAGTCCCAGCTACTCGGGAGGCTGAGGCAGGAGGATTGCTTGAGCCCAGGAGTTTGAGGTTGCTGTGAGCTAGGCTAATGCCACGGCACTCACTCTAGCCTGGGCAACAAAAGCGAGACTCTGTCTCAAAAAAAAAAAAAAAAAAGATATTGTGATTGATTGCTCCATTTTTTTTCATTTTTTTAAAGTAGAATATTGTTCCTAAAGAGTCAAAAAAGTATGTTTGATACTTAATGTTAACTAAACTGTTTTTTTAGGTGATCTCTGGGTATTTAAATTCCCATGTCACCTCTAAAGGCTGAGTCAATTTTAAACCTATTAACTGAATTTTTAAGCATCTATTTAAATGTTGATTTAGTTTGTTTGTAGAATTATATTTTATTACTTTTGATGTTATAGGCTGTATTAGTTTGCTAAGGTTGCCATAACAAATTGGCACAGGCTGAGTGGCTTAAAGAAAAGAAATGTATTTCCTCACAGTACTAGAGGCTATGAGATCAAGGTGTTGGCAGGGTTGGTTTCTTCTAAGACCTGTTTCCTTGGCTTATGAGTGGCTGTCTTCCCTCCGTGTCTTCCCATGGTCTGTCCATACATGTCTGTGTCCTAATATGCTCTTGTTTCTTTTTTTCTTTTTCTTGCTTTCTTTTTCTTTTTTTAACGGGGTCTCCCTCTGGCACCCAGGCTGGAGTGCAGTGGTGCAGTCATAGCTCAATGTAACCCCCAACTCCTGGGCTCAAGAAATCTTCCTGCCTCAGCCTCCCAAGTAGCTGGGACCACAGGTACAAACCACCACACCTGGCTAAGTTTTAAATTTTCGGGGGACAGGGTCTCACCGTGTTGCCCGGGCTGGTCTCGAACTCCTTGCTTCAAGCAGTCCTCCTGCCTCGGCCTCCTAAAGTGCTGGGATTACAGGCATTGAGCTACTGCACCTGGATCCTAACATCCTCTTCTTTAAGGACATCAGTTTTATTGGATTAGTGCCCACTCTCATGACCTCTTTTAACGTTAGTCACCTATTTAAAGACCCTGTCTCCAAATACTGTCGCATTCTAAGGTACTATGGAGTTAGGACTTCAACATATGAATTTTTAGGGGACACAATTCAGCCCATAACACAGCCTATAATGTTTTAATTTACAACTTAACCTGAATTTCTCTATATTCTTTTGTTTACCTTAGGCCTGCTTGTTGCCAATAAATGTTTCTTTTATAGGAGCATATCAGCGCTTCCCACTGTAGCTGCCTATAACAATCGAGCTCAAGCAGAAATCAAATTACAGAACTGGAATAGTGCTTTTCAGGATTGTGAAAAGGTCTTGGAGTTAGAACCTGGAAACATAAAGGGTAAAAAAATCTTCATAGAATGCTTTTAACATTACACCAGGACCCATTAAAGACCATTTATAGACAGTTATGTTTATATAAAAACATTTCAGATAAACTTGAATTTCTAGATGTGAATCACCACCTTCCTAAATTTACTTCTAAGTTTAACTTGGAATTTAAGTCCCTGATTATTTATACTGAGGTAGCTAATAATCTCAGAAGATTGAATAAAATATGTTTTTTTCCTTAAAGGGAAATACCTCCAGCTTACATTTGAGTTGTCTTTTTATCCAAAAAAATTTAAGTATAATTAATACAGATTTTCTGATATTTATTAATATAATAAAATAGTAAGCCCACACTGGAGCTCTAGCACCCTCTAGCAGCTTCTTTGTGGGTATTTCCACCTAGATGACTATATATAATTTATTTTTAATTTTAAATTAATAATAATTTAATTTCAAATTAAACTTGTCTAAAACGGACCACATCTTTCCGCCAAAAACCTGGACTCTGTCTTGATTCGCTGTCTCTGCGACTGACCACGTTGTCTTGGGTAAAGCCTAAAGTATTCAAGTCAAACTCTGCTGCTATCAAGAAGCAATCATTCCAAGAAGGAGTGAGGTACATTATAATAGACACATTATATTTCTTAAGCAAATATAAATACTTAATTTTTTTCACATGGACCGTACACCTTTGTACCTACATCGTTGGGGGAGCAGAAACCATGGGTGTGCTAAGGGGGAGCCTGGTACATCAGCTGCCACTGTCATTGTCATGGACTGCCCTCCATTTAACAATGAAGTCCTCTTGGGCCTGTATTTTGTGCAAGCTGATCTCTGTCACAGAGTACAGATGGGCTCCCAGCTTTAGGCAGGTGCCTGGTGAAGGCGTTGCCATTTCCTATGGGCCCCCACCACTGCTCTGTCAGGCCCTATGCCAAGTACTTTATATATATTAATTCTATTAATTTTAACAACAGCCCCATTGAGATGCAGACACTGTCATTAGCACACTCATTTTACAAAGGAGGAAACCAGGCACAGACATATTAAGCAATTCACCCAGCTTCACATGGCTAACAAATGACAGAGCCAGGACTCAGCACTGGACAGCAGATTCCAGGGCCCGTACTGAACTACTGTGCTATTCTTCTGCCACTGGGATGGCATATGTTTGAATTCTTTTTTGTTTGAGTAATTTCTTAAGTACTCGAATCTTCACTATTAAAAAACAAATTTAGCATAACCAAATGGAGTAAAGAGAGTAGCCATAAAACATTAAGAAATCTTATGTTTGCTTAAGTGCATAAATAACTTTCTCTTCAAAACTTTATTTTTATTTCAAAAGATAATTGTTCTAAATACAATGTGTTATCTTGGAGGCCATTCTGGAACTAAAAAAGGACATAAGTGGAAAAACTGGTAAAATCCAAATAAAGCCTGTAGTTTAAGTTAATAGTATTGTACCCATGTTAATTTCTGAGATTTGGCAAATGTACTGTGGTTCTGTAAGATGTTATTATTAGGGAAAGCTGAGTGAAGGTACCCAGGAACTCTCTGTACTATCTTTGCAACTTTTTTGTAAATCTCAAATTATTTCAAAATAAAAAGTTTAAAAAAAGGTCATTGTTATATCATGAATGTTTCTTCATGGAAATTCTGTTCAGAAATCTGAGTAGCATTAGCAATACCAAAACTGTACAATTTTGATTAAATTTATAACAACATATTTTATCCTTTAGATTTTCATGGCTCATTCTAAGACTAAAATCGAACTGGTCAAATTTATAACTATGTTTTAAAATAGAATATTAAAATACATCTGGATAAATTTCTCACTTTTCAGAATTACCAAACTTTTTTCTTTTCAAAATAATGGCTTTTTACACAAAGTTCTCTTATTATACAATGGATAACGATGGGACAAAAGGCATTTATGCTATTAAATAATTATCAAATTATATGTTGAAAGCTACCCAAAATATCTGATGCAAATTACCAAAGTACTCAATTTCTGAGTCTAGCTGACTTAATCATCAGGATTCTCTGTTTTCCTGTGTTAAATAACTCCTTCTAATGACTTTAGAGATTGCTACACAGATTGCACTAATGAGCCATATTCTGAGCTAGATGCTGGTCACTAATATACTAAATTTTGAGAAGGGATTTTCTAAGTTTTCAAAAAGTTGTAAAATAATACTAGCTATGATTATAAGAAGGAAAACATTATGGTTTAATGAAAAGCTTCCTGATATTGCAGCACAATGTGGTACCTGTGAAGGGTTAGATATAAAGTCTCTTAGCCCTTGGAGGAGCTGGTAGAGCCTGGGGCTACCAGAGGGCCAGAGGGTCATTAGAGGGGACAGCAGCCTGATGCAATCTCTTCTGTTTACCTCAGTATCATTTTCTGTGTGTGCAAAAACATGAAAATGGGTGTAGCTAAGCTTTGCATAATTACATGCTAAAATGTTCTGTGCTACTTACCTTCTTCCACTTGTAAAATATGTTATAACCATAATGCCATAAGATAAAAAATATAACTTGTATTTTGGCAAATTTTCAGCTCTTCTGCGTCGTGCTACTACATATAAACATCAAAACAAGCTACAGGAAGCGATAGAAGATTTGAGTAAAGTACTCGATGTTGAGCCTGATAATGATTTGGCCAAGGTAAGTACAGAAAGCAATTTCTCACCCAATTCTATAGTTGGCTATTTCTATATTTGTTAAAATGGTATCAATCTTGCTGAATAAATTATGGTGAGGGTTAGGTCACAGCTTTAAAAGGTAAATATATCACAGACACCCCAAAATCTTAACATCTATTTGAAGTGAAAGAAAGCAGGCTCTTAACAATTTTTTTCCAAAACTATAACCTACCTCTGAGTGACAAATATTTAATTTTTCCTCTTTCCTCTAGTGTTCTAGGCAATGTTTTTCTCTAAGCTAACCTCACTTTATTTATTATGTGGGGCAGTATAGAAGTTTCCTAGGTAGGATTGGGGTGAGTTCCATGGCCACAGAACAATGTTTCTCTTTGTAGCTAGCATGGTAAACATGGCATCGTTGATAGCATGCACTACCTGGCTGAGCAGAGTGACTCTGATATGCACTTAGGGGATCTGTGTTAAAGCCTAAAGTGTAGAAGTGTCAACAACTGAAATTTTACCCTACTTGCAAATTAACAAGGTGGCCTAGCAAAGGATACAAGATATCCTGGTCAGACACAAAGGCCTCTGTTACTCATGGCACACAAAGCAGATGAGCTTCACATTCATGTCAGTTCCTGTGGCTCCCAAGTCCCACAGGGGTGACACGGCATAGCCCAGATGGATGTTGTTTACTCTGTGGGTTTGTGTGATGGCTAATGAATGCAAAATTTAGAAACTCCTCATCTTTTATAATGGGCTGTAAGTAGACTTGTCCAGCTTCTGCTTCAGAGGGAAGCATATCTTTATTATACTGGAGAGCAAACATACCTACCATCTCCTCTGTAGGTAAATGCTATTTCTATTTTCCAAGACTGTTCGCAGTACAAACATCGTAAAGATGTCCAGAATTAAGATGGTTTTAGCACCATTTCTGCTCTCAGTATAGTCAGAAATAGGAGAAACCCATGGAGAATTGTCTTCCAATAATAAGTTGTCATTGAGTTTCCATATACACCTATCAGGTAATCTATTACAGTCTCTCCAAGTGGCAGCTAATGTCCCTAGTGTATCAGTTGCTTTTGTCAAGTCAGCATTTCAGTGGATTAGGTTTAGGGCCTGGCTCAGGAACTCATCTTTTCCCCATAGTATTTCCTTTTTATAATGGCTATGTTTATTGAAAAGTTAATGTAACAATATTGTAAAAAAAATTGAAACAAGGAAAACTACCTTTAATTTTACTGCTCAACACAATTTCTTGTTTACATATTAAGTTTTAGGCCAAATGCATTTTTTCTTAACCATATGCAAAGGTTAACTCAAAATGGATCATATACTTTAATGTAAAACCTAAAGTATAATAGTCTTAGAAGAAAACATAAGAGAAAATGTTTATGAGCTTGGATTAGACAAATATTTATTACATATGACATGAAAATTATAATTTATAAAAGAGTTGACAAATTAGACTTCATCAAAATTAAAAATGTCTGCTCTTTGAAAAACAGTATTAGAAGAATAAAAAGATAAGCCACAGGTTGGGTGTGGTGGCTCACGCCTATAATCCTAGCACTCTGGAAGGCAAGGCAAGAACACCTGTAGTCCCAGCTACTTGGGAGGCTAAGGCAGGAGGATTGCTTGAACCCAGGAGTTTGAGGTTGCTGTGAGCTATGATGATGATGCTGTTGCGGGTGACAGAGCAAGACCGTCTCAAAAAAAAAAAAAAAAAGACAAGCCACAGACTGGGAGAAAATATTTGCAAAATCATGTATCCAACAAGACTTGTATCAAGAATATATAAAGAACTTTCAAAACTTAATAAGAAAACAAACCATGAAACTAAAAATAAGCAAAATATTTGATCTGACACTTCACCAAAAGAGATATGTGGATGGAAAATAAACACATGAAAAGATGCTCTGCCTGAGTAGAAAATTGCCCAAGCAATTTTAAGCAAAAAGAACAAATTCGGAGGCATCACATTACCAGATTTCAAACTATACTACAAGGCTGTAGTAACCAAAACAGCATGGTGTTGGTACAAAGAAAAAGGCATAGACCAATCAAACAAAAATAGAGAACCCAGATATAAAATCACCTATAGCCAACTGATCTTTGACAAAGCAGACAAAAGTGTACACTGGGGAAAAGAAACCCTATTCAATAAATGGTGCTGGGAAAATTGGATAGCCACATGCAGAAGAATGAAACAGGACTCCGGTCTCTCACCACTCACAAAAATTAATTTAAGATGGATAAAATACTTAAATCTAAAGCATTAAAAACCATAAGAATTCTAGAGAAAAATGTAGGAAAAACTCTTATAGATATTGGCCTGGGCAAAGAATTTATGAATAAGACCCCAATGGCAATCCCAGTAACAACAAAAATAAATAAATCGGATTTGATTAAACTAAAAAGCCTCTGCACAGGTGAGGAAACAACAGAGCAAACAGACAACCTACAGAACAGGAGAAAATATTAATAAGTTAAACATCCAATAAAGGGCTAATAACCAGAATCTACAAAGAACTCAAGCAAATCAGTGAGAAAAAAAAACAACTCCATTAAAAGGTGGGCAAAAGACATGAATGGAAGCTTTTCAAATGAAGATAGACAAATGGCCAATAAACATGTGAAGAAATGCTCAACGTCACTAATTATCAGGGGAACGCAAATTAAAACCACAATGAGATATCACCTTACTTGTGTTAGAATGGCTTTTTATTAAAAAGTCCAAAAACAATAGATGCTGGCGCAGATGCAGAGAGAAAGGAACACTTACACACTGTTAGTGGGACTGCAAATTAGTACAACCCGTATGGAAAACATTATGAAGATTCTTCAAAGAACTAAAAGTAGACCTACCATTTGATCCAGCAATTCCACTACTGGGTATCTACCCAAAGGAAAAGGTGTCATTTTATCAAAAAGATACCTGCACACCACAAGAGCAGAAGAACGGGATCCATTTGTACTCACCATCAAATTGGTATTAACTAATCAACACACAAATGCACATATAAGAATAACATCTATTGGATGTTGGGCGGGGGGAGGAGGGAGGAGGGGACGGGTATTTGTATACACAAGGAGTGCAATGCGCACCACCCGAAGGATGGACATATTTGAAACACGGACTTGGGGGCGGGACCAAGGGCAACCTAAATATCTGTACCCCCATAATATGCTGTAATAAAAGAAAAAGAAAAAAAAAAAGATACCTGCACATGAGTGTTTATTGCAGCATAATTCACAATTGCAAAGATGTGGAATCATCCCAAGTGCCCATCAATTCACGAGTGGATTAATAAAATGTGGTATATGTATACCATGAAATACTACTCGGCCGTAAAAGGATGAATTAATGCCTTTTGCAACAATTTGGATAGAACTGGATACCATCCTCCTAGGTGAAGTATCTCAAGATTGGAAAAACAAGTGCCACATGTACTCATTATTACATTGGAAGTAACACATGTGCACAAAGGAAAGTAAAACTCAGTGGAAATCAAGCAGCGGGGATGGGGTGGAGAGGAAGGGCAGAAACCTACCTAATAGGTACAGTAAACACTATTGGGGTGATGGGCACACCTATAGCCATGACTCAAGCATTACAAAAGCAATCCATGTAACCAACAGCATTTGTATCCCCTTAATATTTTGAAAAAAAAAGGTGCTTAATATCATTAGTCATTAGAGAAATGTAAACTTAAAACCTCAATGAGATACCACTATACACTTATTAGAATACCTAAAATTAAAAAGACTGACCATATCAAGAGTTGTCGAGAACATAGAGGAACTGAAATTCTTGGGAATATAAAATGATACCACCACTTTGGAAAATAGTTTGGTGGTTTCTTAAAAAGTTAAACATAAAAACATATACCTACCATATGATCCAGCCATTTCACTCCTAGGTATTTACTCAAGAAAAATGCAAGTATATGTTCATACAAAGACTTATGCACAAATGTTCATAGTAGGTTTATTTGTAATTGCCAAAACCTGAAAACAGCCTAAAATGTCCATTAGCAGGTGAATGGATAAACAAATCATTATATCCATACAATAGAGTACTATGAGCAATAAAGAGGAATGAACTATTGACACATACATCATCATGGATGAATTTTAAAATAATTATTCTGAGTTAAAGAAGTCAGACAAAAAAGAGTTATACAATATGATTCTATTTATATAAAATTATAGAAAATACACACTAATCTGTCATGATGATAAAAAGAACAGTGGTTGTAGGGAGAGGTAAAAGTGAGATATTACAAAGAGGAAGAAACATTTGGAAATGATGGGTATGTTTATTATTATGTAAAACCTATCAACTTGTGTACTTTAAGTGTGTGCAGTTTATGTTAATTATACTTCAATAAAGCTGTTAAAAATGAAAGGGGAAAGGAAAATGGTTTCATATATATATTTTTCATTCTAGTTGGCATAAAATATTTCAGAACTTTTGACATTTTGGAAAACAGCATGTATAGCATGATTTAATTTATATAAAACTATATATCTCTGTGTGTATATGTACATACAAACATACCTAGGAAGATGATCATCAAAATGTCAGTAGTGTTATCTGAGTGGCAAGGTTTCAGCTGATTTTTTTTTTCTTTTTTTTACTTGTTACTCTAAGTTTTTTGTTTTTTTTTTACAGTGAACATGTAAGATTACAATCAGACAAAGCAATGAAGTTGCTTTGAAAAAGAAAGTACACCACCAAAAAAGCCTTATTGTTGTTATCTTTGTTCATTTTTAATATCTTTATATTTTTAACTGAAAGAATGGTTTTTTATTAAAGGAAAACATTTAATATGGTGATTACGTTGCAGAAAACCTTGTCAGAGGTTGAAAGAGATCTGAAAAATTCTGAACCTGCATCTAAGACTCAAACCAAAGGGAAAAGGATGGTTATTCAGGAAGTAGAAAACTCCGAAGATGAAGGTGGAAAGGACGATGGAGGAAACCATGAAGATGGCAGTGGAGATAATAGTAAAACATTTTTTCTATTTTGGTTATGTAAAGAACTACCTTTTTATATGATAAGCTGGTTCAATTTTTTATTTGTACAGAAATTCTCAGTCTACCAAATTTTATCTAGCTTTGCCTTGTGAATCCACAAGCAAGTTTAGCTCATCTCTTTAATACAGCTTAATACAACCTCTCAAACCCATTTTCCTTTTTAACCTGTCACCTTTTTCTAGTGCTCGATTTAATTCCTGATTATTACTTTTCAATGTAAATGGCTATGTCCGTGTGACACAAACCATTTGCAAGTCAACCTTAGAAATTTCTCTTAGGTGAGTGATTGTTTTGTGTATATCTACTTGATTGCAGCAAATGCATTGGTTTCCAAGTGGGTATGGGTAGCTTTATTTATATGACTAAAATGAATGCATTACTGGAAAATTGCTGTGTGTGCCTCTCAAAAAATGTTTTAAGTTTTAGAAAAGAAATAAGTATAATTTCATTTTTGAAATAATTTTAAAAAGAGAATCTAGAATAGACAAAGCTTCATCTTCATAATATAAAACATGGAAGTTATGTCACCTTTCAGGGGTAACATTTGCCTCCTCACAGGACGTCAAAACTTTCCCCTCCTTCTTGAGAGCCCCTGAGCAACAGGGGGAAAATAATCAATTTTGAAAATCACTCACAAGTAAAAAAATCAACATGTAAGTAATTTGACGGAATATTCTAATTTTGAGAGAGAAATGTAAAATATTCAGTTCACGCAACTTTTTAAAAAAATAAAGAACAAGAAGTATAAGTTTCTAAAAATGAATGAGAAAAATATAAAGTGTACACTTCAGAATAAAATATGATCAGTTAAGATAGAATAAAGACAAAGGAACCAAAAAGGAGGGAGGGAGGAAGAGGAAGAGACAAAGGAGGAGCACCAGAGGGCTGGGAAGGAAGAGAGAGCATCAAAAGGATAAAAAAGGGAGAAGTTAAGGTAACCAGTTTTTCAAAGATTGAAGCTCGCCTTTCAGCCTGATTTTAAGTTGTGGCATAAAGATGTTCTTCTTCAGGTTTATATTTGGCTTAACATAATTAGCCAAATGTCTTACAGTTAAAGGATATCATTTTAAATCTTATCTGGGACAAGATGAAGTATAAACTATATGAATTGCTACTGTTTTTAAATTATTGTTTTAAAAATTTACATGCAGTAAAAATGGACTTTTCTTAGTATACAGTTCTAACACATGTACAATTTTATGTAACCATCACCACAATCAGGATGCAGAGTAATTTCATGACTGTTTTGGGTGATTTTTTTACGTTCTTCTTGCTGTCCCTTTAGGCAAACCCTTCCATCACCCCAACTCTTGGTTGAACAGAGAACAGATCAACCTTTGTTTTCCCTTTTCCAGAATGTCAGATAAATGGAATCAGAAAATATGTAACCTTTTGAGACTAGCTTCCTTCACTTAGCATGTCACTGAGATTCATTCATGTAGTAGTTGTATGTATCATTGCTTCATTCCTTTTTATTGCTGAGTAGCAATAAAATATAATTCCATTATATGGATGTACTGAAGTTTATCTGTTCACCTATTCAAGGACATTCAGATTGTTTCCAGTGTCTGGTAATTATGAATATAGCTGCTATAAACATTCATGTGTAGGTTTTTGTGTGAACATATGTTTTTATTTTCCTTGGGTAAATATTAAGTACCTAAGAGCGGGACTGCTGAGTCATGTGGCAAGTGTATGTTTAACTTATGACCAGTTTTCCAGAGGGGCTATACCTTTTTGCATTGCCATTAGCAACATATGAGAGTTCTAGTTGTTTCACATCCTTGCTAGCATTTGGTATTTTCCTTTATTTTTTCCTTTTTTACCCATTCTATTAGGTGTAGAGTGGTTTCTCATTATGGTTTTAATTTCCATCTTCCTAATGGCTAATCATGGTGAACATCATCTCATGTGCTCATTTGCCAGCTCTATATCATTTTTAGTGAAGTGTCTGTTCAAATTATTCCATCAATTTTTTTAATTGGATTGTTTTCTTACTGTTCAGTTTTGAGATTTCTTTTTATATTTTTGATGCAAGTCCTTTGTTATAAGATTTGCAAATATTTTTTTCCTGTCTATAGCTTGTTTTTTCATTCTTTTAACAGTGTCTTTCACAGGACAAAGGTTTTTAATTTTGTTGGGGTCCGTTGTCGCTCCATAAATTAATATAACTATATTAAAGACAGAAATGGTCCCAGGAGTTTTGCAGGGCTTTGCCCTGAAGGAATATGTGAACGTGTTAGTTTGCATATCAAAAGCTGCTTCACCTCAGGAGGGCATTTCAAAGATCAGTGGCAGCTGCTTCCCAAGATGACGTTGAGATTCTCAGACCTGTGGGTCTGACTTGCTTTGAAAGGCAAAGCAGATCTGCTAGGAGCCGCAGGATGAGAGCTGATGAAAGAATGCCTGCTGGACAGACAGACACTTGTGGCTAAAAGCAATTAGCCCAAGGGACAGTTCCTGCTTAAACTCCTGACTATATGTCTCAATACACAATAACTTGATAAAAAAATATGGAGCCACTATATCTCTGTTTAACCCTTCTGTTAAGTGATAAATTTACCTTAGAACTTACAAGTTTGTGTTTGAAAGATTTTGTAACCATTTATTCATGTAGATAGAGTTAGTTAAGGGATCTGAAGAAGCCTTTTGAAATACTTTTAACCTAAGAAGAACTACCTGTTATTATGTAAATCTGTTACCCCTGGCAACCGATCACTGTACCTGTAAATACCCATGTAAAACTTCACTCCTGACCTTTTGTGATTAATAGAGAAATCACAAGGTCTCTTGAGTACCCCCTGCTTTTGTCTTTTATCTTTATAAATCTATAAAACTATATCTTCGTCTCTGTGTATGCTTTTATTTCTATTATTTTCTATTTTCTATTATTTTCTTATCCTTTACACATGACCCCTACCTAAGGGACCCAATTTTTTGCTGTGGTGTAGCTAACTCCCTGCAGTCCATTTTATCCAGTGTTTTTATTGTCTGTGCTTTTTATGTCATATCTAAGAACATTTTGCCTAACTCAAAGTCATGAAGATTTTATTGTATGTTTTCCTTTCAAAGTTTTATAGTTTATATTTTACATTTAGATGTATGTCAATTCTGAGTTAATTTTTATATGAAGGGTGAGGATTAGATTGAGTTTAATTTTTTGCATATGGATATCCAATTGTTCCAAAACGATTTGCTGAAAACTCTCCTTACTCCTTTGAATTGCCTTTGCACCTTTGTAAAAAAAATATCCCACGGCCACACTTGCATGACCAGTAGAATCTAATTCTGTTCCACTAGTCCGTGTGTCTATTCCTGTGTCAGTACCACACTGTCTTGATTAATATAGTATAGCTTTATAATTAAGTCTTAGAATTGATGTTGAATTGTTTCAAATGCTTTTTCTGCATCAATTAATTTCATCATGCGGTTTTTTTTCTGTAATCTGTTAATACATTAGATTACCTTGATTGATTTTTGAATGGTGAGCCAGCCTTGAATTCTTGGGATAAACTCCATTGATCATGATGTATTATTCTTTTCATATATTGCTGGATTTTATTTGCCGATAGTTTGTAGAGGATTTGTACATCTGTGTTCATGGGAATTACTGGACTATACCCTTCCTCCTTCCCTCCTTCCTTCCCTTCCTTCCTTCCTTCCCTTTCTTCCTTTGCTCTTTCCCTCTTCTCTTCTCTTCTCTTCTCTTCTCTTCTCTTCTCTTCTCTTCTCTTCTCTTCTCTTCTCTTCTCTTCTGTCTGGTTTTGGTGTTAGGGCAATGCCAGCCTCATAAAATGAGTTGGAACATGCTTCTTCCACATCTATATTCTGAAAGACATTGTGTAGAATTGATATTATTTCTTCTTTAAATGTTTGGTAGAATTTGCCAGGGAAACCATCTGGGACTGGAGTTTGTTTTGTAAAAGACTCTAAGTTAAAAATTCAATTTCTTTAATAGATATAAAACCATTCAGGTGATCTATTTTTTCTTGGATGAATACTGATAGTTTGGTAGTTTCAAGGAATTGGTCCATTTCATCTAAGTTGTTGAGTTTAGCTACATGAGTTGTTCATAGTACTGCCTTATTATCATTTTAATGTTTGGTAAGTCTGTAGTGGTCTCCCCTCTTTCTGATATTGGTAATTTGTGTTTTCTTTCTTTGTCAATCTGGCCAGAGGTTTATGCATCTTATTGATCTTTTCAAAATACCAGCTTTTGTTTCATTTATTTTTCTCTGCTTTTTTTCTTTTTCAAATTTTCATTGATTTCTGCTCTTTATTATTTCCTTTCTTCTGTTTGTTCTAAGTCCATTTTGCCCCGCTTTTTCTTTTTTCTTTCCTTCTTGTTATGTTGCCCAGGCCAGTACTCAAACTCCTGGGCTCAAGTAATCCTCTCACCTCAGCCTCCTGGGTAGCTGGGACTACAGGCTCATACCACCATGCTCAGCTTGCTTCTCTTTTTCTAAGATAGTTTCTCAAGATAGAAGCTTGGAATATTGATTTGAGGCTATTTTCCCCCTAATATAAATATTTCATGCTATAAGTTTCCTTATGAGCACTGCTTTAGCTGTATCCTGCATGTTTTGATATGTTGTATTTTCATTATAGTCATTTGAAAATATTTTCTAATTTTCTTTGAGACTCTCTCTTTGACCCATATGGCATATTTAATTTCCAAATGTTTTTGAGATTTACCAGTTATCTTTCTGTTATTGATTTCTAGTTTACTTCCATTAAGGTCACAGAATATAATATGTGTTACGTGAATTCTTTTAAATTTGTTAAGTCTGTTTTATGACACAGGATATGTTCTTTCTTGATGTATATTTCATGTGCACTTCAAATGAATGTGTATTTTGTTGTTTTGGGGGTGGGGTATTCTCCAAAGGTCAATTAGAACCAATTGGTTGATGGTGTTGCTCAGTTCTTCATCCTTGCTTATTTTCTGTGTACTTGTTACATTCCTAACTGAAAGAGGAGTGTTGTAGTCTGTAGTTATGGATTTGTCCATTTGCCATTTAGTTCTATCAGTTTTTTGCTTCATGTGTTTTGAAGTCCTGTTGTTATGTGCACGCACATTTAGGGTTGCTGTGTTTTGTTAGTTAATTGCTCCTTTTATCATAATGTAATGTCCCTCTCTATCTCTGATAATTTTACTTGCGTTTAAGTCTACTTTTCCTGACATTAATATAGTTACTTCAGCTGTCTTTGGATTAATATCTGCATAATATATATTTTTCACACATTAAAGTGTGTTTCTTTATCTGTTCTTACTCTTTCTTATAATTGGTATGATTACCCCATTTATACTTATTAATATTTATATTTAGGTCAAAATATTGATATGCTTGTATTTAGGTTTTATTTGTTTTTCTATTTTTTCCCCTCTGTTTTTTCTACTGTTTCTACTTTCCTATTTTTTTAAATTATTATTTGGCTTGAATATTGTTTAGTTTTTCATTATAGTTTTTGATTGAGGCTTTTTTTAAAAAACTATATTTATGTGTACATTGTTTTAATGGTCTCTCTAGGGATTTAAATATACATACTTAATTTTCCACATTCTATTTAGAATTAGTATTTTACCACTTCAAGTTAATGTAAAAGCCTTACCACTATATCATTCCCTTTACCCTGCCCTTTTATGTTGTAGTTATCATACGAATATAATGATGTTACATCTACATTCATTGAAAACCCATCAGACAATATTATGGTTTTTCCTTTCAACCTGTCTATATATTTTAAAGAACTTAAGAGGAGAAAAACAGCCTATTTTATTTACTCAGATATTTATAATTTTGTTACTCTTTCTTCATTCCTGTTGTTGTAAGTTTCCTTCTGGTTTCATTTCCCTTACAGCTGAAGGACTCCTTTTAACATTTCTTTTAAACAATTTCTTCAGGAGATGAATTCTCTTAGTTTTCCTTCATTGTCTTTATTTCACCTTCATTGCTGAAAGAGAGTTTTGCTGTTTATAGAATCCTGAGTTGACAGTTCTTTTCTTTCAGCACTTTAAAAATTTTGTTCAGCTGCCTTCTGTTCTCCATGGTTTTGATGAGAAATCTATTGCTACTCAAATGATTGTTCCCGTATATATGATGTATTGTTGTTCTCTGGATGCTGTCAAGATTTTTTTCTTTGTCTTTTATTTTTCAGCGGTTGATTATGTCTGGATATGAAGGTTTTTTTTTTTTTAAACAGGGTTTAATTGAGCAAAGATTGATTCACAAATCGGGCAGCTGTTAGAACCAGAAGTGGGTCAGAGACCTCCTGGATGTGAGCTTCTTGAATCTGTAAATTTATGTCTTTACCAAATTTTGGAAATTGTCTGCCATTATTTCTTCAAATATTTTTTTATGGACAACACTATTTCTCCTTTCCTATAGGGACTGTTACGACACAATTGTTAGCCATTTAGTACTATCCTGTAAGTCCTTGAGCTTCTGTTCTTTTTTTTTTTCTTTCAATTTTTTTCTCTCTGTTGTTCAGATTGAATAATTTATATTGATTTATATGTAAATTCACTGACATTTTCTCTGTCTTCTCAATTCTGCTATTGTACCCATTCACTGAATTTTCAAATTTTGCTTATTACATTTTTTCATTCTAAAATTTACATTAAAAAAAAATTTTCTATTTCTCTACAAAGCTTTTTAATCTTTCTATTCATCTCAAGTGTATTTGACTTTATTTCTTGGAGCATGGTTATAATAGTCACTTTAAAGTCTTTGTTGGAGAATTCACAACATCTGTGTTATCTAGAGTTTGTCTTTTTTCCCTTGCCAAATGTTGAGATTTTCTTTGTTCCTCATTTGTCGAGTAATTTTGGACTATATACTCATAATTTTGAATATTAAGTTATGAGATTTTCAGTCCTGTTTAAATTTAAATTCTGCGGAGAATTTTTTTTTTTAGCAGTTGAGCAATCTGGTTAGGTTCAGGTATTAATTTTCCACCTGACTTCTGTGGACTATGGTTTTAATGACAGTATAGTTTTCAAAATCTTTGCAGTGCTATTTGGATCTGTCCCACTTGTGCACTGCCCAGTGACCAGTTGGGGCCTGGACAGTGGTCTTAAAATTGAGATGTTTAGGGTCAGATTTATGCATATGATCACCTGAAAGGTGAGCCCAGGAGTTCATATACAATTTTATGTAATTATTTTCTTGCGTTCCCTCTTCTTTGTGACTTCCCTATACTTTCTGGCTCCCAGAGGTTTCCCTTATTCCTCTGGCTAGAAATCCTGGCCTTTAATTTTTCCATTCTACTATGCACTTCTCATGGCTATGTATCCCCAGGACTAAGCAGCAAGAGGATAGAGTGAGAAAATAAGCAATGAGGAGTCCCTGACATTGTTGAGACCACAGTTTTTCTGGCCTGAGGTAAGAGCTGCCCTACCTCAAAGTTTTAGGTGCCTGCTTGGCTGCCACTGCCACTGCCACTGGAACAGCCTGTAGGACTGCTTGAGGGCTGGGATGGGAGGGAATCGAAAAACAAAACAAACCAAAAGGAAACAGGGAATTCTCAACTGTCTCTCCCATAGGGGTCAGCTATCTTTTTGTTTCAGATAAATAGTAGAGAGCTTCTCCTGAAGCTTTTCCTGTCCACACTCAGTGCACAGTGCTGGGTTTTGGGCTACCTTTGAATCCAGCCCAGGAGATACCAGAGGAAAGAAAAATGAGAAACTCACTGCTCTATTGGGGATATTTCAAGTTTCTTTCCCTAGTCTGCCTGCTACCATTTACTTTTCAGTGTCCTTGTGTAGCTGCTCCATGAATTCTGTCCCAGGTTTTTAGTTGTGTTCAGGGTGTATTTAGAGACAGGATGGAATACGTTTACTCTATCTCAGCTGGAACTGCCCCGTTAATACTATTTTTAAAAAATGATTAGCACATTTGAAGAACTATGGATGTACTTTACATATTTCATATTTTTTGATCTTCAAGGAACCTGTTAACTATCCATACTCTTACAGATTAGGCAATGGCAACTTTAGAAAGGTTACTTGCCACATTTGCATAGGTTGTGCTTGTGGTTGGGATATAGTCCCAAATCTGTTTGACTCCAAAGTCTCTCTCTTAAAAGTGGTTATTGGATGCCAACTAAGAGAGTACATGTTTTATAAAACCCAGGCTACATTATCAAAGAAACAGATATAATTTGGTACTTATCCACTCTTATGCTCACTGATGTACCAAGAACTCTAATGAGAAGCTGAACCTATGCTGATGAGCACATAAGTTAGGGACTAATGTGATCATTTTTGAAACTAAAAGGTCCTCCTCACAAATAGAGATAAACAAGCAAGAAAGGGCTAATCATTTTTAAAAACTTACTAATACTACTTCCATGATGAGAAATCTGAGTCAGGGCCAGCTGCAGTAGCTCACACCTGTAATCCTATCACTTTGGGAGGCCAAGGCAGGAGAATCCCTTGAGGCCAGAAGTTCAAGACCAGCCTGAGCAACATAGTGAGACTCCCATCTCTACAAAAATTTTTTAAAAATATTCGCTGTGCCTGGTGGCCCACGGCTGTAATCCCAGCTACTTGGGAGGCTAAGTCAGGAGGGTCACTTGAGCCCAGGAGTTTGAAGCTGCAGTGAGCTGTGATTGTGCCACTGCACTCTAGCCTGGGCGACAGAGCGAGACCTTGTCTCAAAAAAAAAAAGGAAGGAAAGAAAAATCTGAATCAGGGTTGTTGTAGTATAATATCATTTAACAGATTGATAAGATGTTTCTCTCTGAATTAAGCAGTTATCTTTAAGGTGAGTCCCATAGAGAAGCAATATTCCCATTCAGCTCTCCAAACAGCCAGAGCTTTAAGAGAACCATTCTGATCCTGTCATTCATGTCCTGCTCCTTCATAATTACTTTGTAGATTAGGGAATATATAAAATATGTAAGATTCAGAAACCAAAAATATCTCCATAGAAAGAATATAAATTTTAAGCCGGGCGCAGTGGTGTGTGCCTACAGTTGCAACTACTCAGGAGCTGGGGAGACTGAAACAGGAGGATCGCTTGAGCCCAGGAGTTTGAGCCACACCTGGGCAACATAGCAAGACCTCGTCTCTTACCAA